TCTGTAGGAGTATTATGGTTGGTAGTTGACTCACAGGCATATAACAGCCATATAGGGATACAAAAAAATGATAAGAAGGTATTATTGAATACTTTGAAATGTCAGGGTAACAGGCAAAAAGGATCAACTACTAGAAATTAGAGAATTCAATCTATAGGGGAAAAAAGAAGGAAAATAATTAAGACCTATTTCAGAATAGTAGTTGTCACTGGAAATGGGATTGTTGTTGTTGTTGTTATGTGCTGTCAAGTTGCCTGTGACCTGTAGCAACTCTGTATACATTAGTTCCAAGCCCTGCCCTGTCATGAACGGAGGGTGATGCAATTGGATGAGTATTCAAGTGGAATCAACATTATGTTAATGTTTTCTTTCTAAATTCAGTGATAGAGTCTAGGTGTGTTTTCATCTTGATACTATTTTGTAAGAATTACACATATGTTTTATACAGAACTTGGTGTATTACAATTTTTATTATGCTTCAAATAAACACAATAATACATGCAATGCCTCAATAATTTCTCTATGTACATTTGTGTACCACTTATTATATTTCTCAAGTTTCACAAACATTCTCAGTATCCTTACCTACTTTAAAATAAACTCGGTCCCTTCTCACCCACCTACATCCTTTGTAAAATGAATAATCCTTGGATGATAAATAATTATACTTTTTCAAATAAATAGTAATACATCACACTTGTCCTTTGTGACATTCATTTTGCTAAACAGGATGATTTGGGGGTTCATTCATGCAGTGGCATGCGTCAAGATTTCATTTCTATTTATGGCTGAATCATAATCCATTTTATGGAAATATCTCTCATGGTTTATTCATGTTTCTATTCAACTTCATTCAGTTGTTTCCATCTTTTGGCTATCGTTGGGAAATTATGCAAAAAAAAACCCCAAAACCCACTGATTTCCAGGTGTCATACAGATCTTAAGGCTTGCAGTTCAAAACCACCCGTTGTTCCATTGGAGAAGGAGGAGCAATCTTATCCTGTGTGATTCACTGTCTCTGAAAATCCACAGGAGATCAGCTCTGAGGTAGTTCTCGCCTGATGGCACACAACAACACCACAGAGTTTTTAGCAAGTGAAACTGAGGAAATGTATTTTATGTTCCACATTATGGATATGTTCTCTCCTGATCTTGTAGTATTAATAACTTCCCTTCAGACTTTACAGTGCATACGAATTCCCAAAAGTGTTTCTTTAAGTAGCTCAGCCTTCAGATGTCTCCACGGAATTGCAGTCAGTAATATTTTTATAAGCTCCAGGACTCTGCAGTATGAATAAGAATCACAGGTGACTCATATCAGCAGGTATTCTGTAAATATTAACGGTGGGCTGTCTGTGATAGGATCTTTTTTTACTTTCTTTTTTATTAATTTTAATGAAAATTTACAGAGACTTTGGATCGCCATTCATTCATTGTTGCACTTTTCTCCCTGCCCTTCCCCACCCCCCTAGTTTGCTCTTCTCTTTGAAAAGTAAAAGAAAAATTCTTTCATTGTTATGCAATCCCTCCCCCAAAGTCCACTCCACTATGCAGCCTTGAATCTGGACTCCTGTCATGACAATAATACATAATCATATATCCCTTTTAAACAGTTCTCTCCCTCATCTGTTTCAACGCAATATACATAATTTATCCCATGCTGAGTGAAATATCTCATACACAAAAGGACAAATACTGCTTAGTGCCACTGTTGTAAAATGGGACTGACATGGAGGTTGGGGGGAAACTGAGAAAGATGGGGTAAAATCTATCCTGAGTGTGGTTAGGAGAGTTGCCTCACAGCTTGATTTCAAAAATTTCTCTCCCTTTATACCATAGACAAAGCCATCTAGGCTTGATCCCAGTTTGTCTCTAATGAACTTTATGGTTTGGGGCTTTACTCCCAGGTCTCTGATCCATCTTGAGTTGATTTTTGTGTATGATGTGAGATGTGGACCCTGTTTCAGCTTTCTGTAGTGCATGAGGATTTAAGGGGGGAAAGGGGTTGCAGAGGAGTGAGGCTGGGAGGGGTTGGGAGATGTTGGGGGAGGTAATCATAGGGTCAAACGATTTAATGGGTGGAGGGAGGGTTGGATAAAGGAAATTAAAAACATCTGGTGTGAAAAACACTGTATATGAACTCCTTAAGTAAACCAGTATAAAATAACAATTTTATTTGGAAATTAAAAAAATCCCCTTTCTTTCATCCCAGTGATGATCAAACTAGAAGGCTCTCCAAGAAATCCTTGACTCTACTTTGAGATCTTCATTGTTCTCGACAAACAACTGTAGTGATGATTCTAATGGCTCCCAATTTGTATAGTTTGATAAATAATCCCCTCAAATTTCCAATGTATCTTTTTGCCTACCATGTTTATGATTCATTCTCAAATCACTAATTCATCCATAAACTACATTCTTCATAAAGACATATTGTGGGTATATTGCAAGTCCTGAGATTCCAGCTAACCCTCCAAAACATCCACATTTTTATTATTTTTATTAATTTTCATAAATAATTTTAATCATCCATGTTTTCTTTGTGGATCCCAAAACATTTGAATAAGAAACGGCATAAAAAATAATTAAGATACATTCATCAAGAAATCAGTAAAAATAATCAAAATAAATAAGGTGCCAGAAAAATATTACCAACTCTTACCATACATACTATACTCATTTGATTATAAAAACTGCTGATAATTATTACAATGAGGGTAAGCAAATGCAGCCAATGGAGCAGGTGGTGAAATATGTGTGAATCAGAGGATTACAAGATTTATGAATACAGGGAACATGGTAGCACTATTTGAACTTTGACTTTTGTGTCAGACGTTTTTGTAAGTCTCTTTATGGTTACAGAGATTGACATCTACAAAGAAAATACACTTCAGATGGTCTGTCAAAAGTTATAGTAATAATTTTCCCCATATCAGAATTAAATTAAGAAGAAGCATTTAAGCGAAATCTTTGTTTTGAAATGGGAAGAACTTTTTACGGATAGCTTGAATTCATGGAAAGATCTGTTAACAGAATATCCAGAGGAGGACAGTAAGCTTTCTTACTCTGGATGTCATGTGTTGGTATGAAATCACATCACCTGAAGCGATCAGGAGACCTAAGAGGAGAAACCAGCTCTAGAATGAAGGCTTCTCATGGAAGACTAAAGAAAAAGCATGTCTGTTCTGTTCTTTTGAATTCTCTACTTCTGAAGTGCTGTTAACCGGGTGCAGAAAGAAAGCAGGAACACGAAGCGAAGGAGTGAATTCTGAAAAAGAGAAGGCTGAGGCAGAGGTCCTCTCCCAGATTACACTGTGAAAAGACCCCTGTCTTCATCTCCCTGTGGTTTTTATTTAGTTTAAGCCAATGATAATAATAAAAAAAATCTGTCTCCGGAGACTATATTTTCCTTAAACTTAACTGTTGCCAACATAACAATGGGTAAGCTTAATCTTTAAACTAAGACCAAAGTTCAGACATGCCATCCCCTTGGATGGGAGGCTGGGAGGAACCTTCTGTTTCCAGAGGGCATCCAGTATCGTCTCCAGGGAACTGGGTGGAATTTTCTTTTGCAGAGGGCACTCTGTCCTGCATGGACTCTGATCTCAACTGCAGCCTTACTATCCACACTGAAATGTTGTTTATAGTTTGTTTTGTTTGTTTGTTTGTTTGTTTTCAATGAAAAATAGTTCTGCTGTTTGAAAATAAAGGATCAGAACTTGTCATTTATTATTAGAATGAAAGGCTTCCATGATAGTTGCTGTGATGTTGGTGAGAACTCGCCTCAAGCCAAATGACATAATTTAATTAGTTAATTATATAGGTGATGAAAGTAAGTATGACAGATACTGATGATCCTTTGAATACATGGGATTTGCCAGTAATTTGTCTAGTAATTATTAAATTGTAAGCTCTTCTGTCTCATCATTAGACTAAGCCTGGTTTTCCATCCACATACACAGAAAACGGCTGACGAATGTCTGTAGCTGTAACCACAACTTTGATTACATCCTTTCTGTGTTCTTTATAGTATCTTCTTTACTTCTTTCCTGTATGGTTACCCTGAAAAACATTTAGTAAGAACCAATTCCTCAGCCTCTGCTGCTGTAGTACTTGATCAAAGAAACTGACTCTAAAATGTTTGTCAAAGAGCAAAATGAAGCATCAACCTCAAGTTGAAATGGGTTGTTGTTAGATACTGTTTAGTCAGTGACGACTCATAGTGACCTTATGTTCAACAAAACAAAGCATTTCCTAATTCTACACTATTCTCATAATTGTTCTATTGACTCCATTGTTGACTCACCTGTGTCAATGTATCTTACAGAAGACCGTGGTCTTTTTCAATGACTTTCTACTCTACCAAGACTGTTTGCTCTTCCCCATGATTCAAACACTCCTCGTAGTGTATCCAACGTTTGTGAAATGAAGTGTCAGCATCCGTAGTTTTAAATCGCATGCAGTCTGTACTTCTTCCCAATAGATTTTTGTTCTTCTGGCAGTTGATGGTATGTGAAATATTTTTTTCACCCAGATCATAATTTAAAGTTATCAATTCTTTGGTCTTCTTTACTAACTGCCCAGGTTTCTCATGCATATGAAGTTATTTAAAATACTACTATCTGGGTCAGGCATATCTTAGTCTTTAAAGTGACTTCTTTGCTTTTGGACACATTAAAGAAGTCCTGTGTAGCAGATTGACCCAATGCGGTATATCTTTTGATTTCTTCACCACTACTTCATTGGGAGTTGATTATGCATCTAAGTAAATGGAAATCCTTGACAACTTCAAAAGTTTTGTTCTTTACCATGAAGTAGTTTACATGTACTTGAAATAGTTTATATGCATTTGTCGTTTACATGTACATGAACTGTTTACATGTGCTGAAATAGTAATTAAAAAAATCTTACTGATGAAATAGTCATAAAGCCCATATCTGCAATATTCTTCTCACTTTGACATATTCTAGTGTCCCAAGCCAAAATAGACGACACAATTTCTAAAATGAAGATATCCTACTGATGACTTTCTTCAAGGCTTCCTTCATGTCTTTGTTCCTCAAGCTATAAATAAAAGGGTTCATAATTTGAGGCACCACACTGTACATTACTGAAGCTATTGCTGCCTTCCTGGAAGACTGCGTCAGTGCAGAACTGATATACACACCAAAAACTGTTCCATAGAATAAGGAAACCACAGAGAGATGAGACCCACAAGTAGAAAAAGCTTTGTATTTTCCATCTGCTGATGGGATTCTCAAAATAGAGGAGACAATTCGAATGTAAGAAAAAATTATTCCAGCAAGAGGAATACCACACCACACAGTAGCCACGAAATATACTAGGATAAAATTTATGAGAGTATCAGAACAGGCAAGGTTGAGAATCTGAGCAAGTTCACAGAAGAAGTGAGGAATTTCCAGGTCTGTGCAGAAAGACAGACGCAGCACCATCAGACTATGAAGCAGGGCATCCGCAATGCTAATTAATAAGGATAAGAGGGAGAGCAAGACGCAGAGGCTGGGGTTCATAATGATTGTGTACCTTAATGGGTAACAGATAGCCACATAGCGGTCATAGGCCATTACTGCAAGAAGAGAGTTTTCCATACCACCAAAAACTAAGACAAAGCAGATCTGGGTTATACATCCTGAATAGGTGATACTCTGAGTATGCGTTTGGAGATTCACCAGCATCTTTGGAATGATGGTTGTGATGAGACAGATGTCAGTGATAGAGAGAATGGAAAGAAAGAAATACATGGGGTTGTGGAGTTTGGAGTCTAAACTGACAGCCAGGATGATGAGTAGGTTTCCAAAGAGAGTGATCATATATATGGACAGAAACAGGCCAAAGAAGATGGTCTGAAGTTCTCGGTTGTCTGTTAGTCCCAGAAGAAGGAATTCGGAAACCTCTGTTTGGTTTTGGGCTTCCATGCTTCTTATCAATCTGATGCAAAAGATGAGGTGATAGATACCGAGATGATGCATGGACTCTGGATGTCCAGCAAGAGTGACATTTGAAATCTTATTACAAATAGAAGCTCTTGGGACCTACTCCAGACATATTGATGGTAGTAAGCTCTGGAAACCAGCAGTTTATGTTTTAACAAGACTTCCAGCTGGCTATGATACATGTTGAAGTTTGGAAAACACTGCCTACATTATGATTCTAAAGAAATATTCATATTTTACCCTCTAGGTACTTTCTTCTCCATTTTCTTTCACTTCTCTTTATTATACTTAAGGGTATAAACTTGTGCACATGTCCGCTTCCACAAGTAAAGAATAAGAGTGTTTTTCTTCATAATTATTGCATGCCTTCAAATGGAATAAAATGACAAAATCTATTTTTAGAACAATGGTCATCAAACTTTGTAACAGTTTAAAAATCATCTAAAAGGCTTATGATGAATTAGTTTATATAGTTATCCTCATCAATCTAGGAATACATTTAGAGAAGGTGGTGTTATGTCACAGATGCAAAGCACAAAGCAAATGTGTAGCAGAAATTCCATCTTTGCTCCAATTATCTGACCGCTGAATTGATTTTCTTTATCTCTTTCTGTTAATGCTTCTGACAATGAACATCCCTAAATAGTCACTGGTGGCCTAGCGGCAAGAAGCTGAGCTGCAATCCCGAAGGCTTGTGGTTTGAGGCCACCAGCTGCTCCAAGGGAGAAGGATGGGCAATCTCCTCCCTTGCGATTAACTGACTCCGCAAACCCACTGGAGAGTCAGCTATGCATTGGTTCCAACTCTATGTTCTACAACAACAAATAGTCATTGAGATTTTCTTTTTCCTTTACTTCTTAAAATATCTTCCCCTGAATAAACTTTTTGTCTTCTGGATATTTTTACATCTGCCCCTTAAGTGAGGATGGACTAGAGGAAATGTCATGCGACCAGGCCCACACTCTTAATATAATGTAAAGGTTATTAGGAAATTTTATCTATACACTTGAAACTTAAAATACTTCTTCATGGAAGCATATGTAATTTGCACTAGGGACTGATTCTAAGAGAAGCTATTAATGGGCAATTACATTAACAGAGAAATTCTCTGTTCTCACAACTACCTGAAGATTTAAAGTTTTCCCCCTGACATGATATGCATATCACTAATGAAACTTTATTTCACCAAATTGAATTTTCAAATTGTAAAAAAACCACTTCTACATACATGAAAATATCCTTAGATACAAAAAATAATAAAAATATCCTGCATATAGGAAAAAAGTAAAAAATAAAATTCGCATCAAAAAAAGCACCTGAAAAGATGCTCACAGTCATATCCTTTAACCAATCCATTGCTATCTAGTCCATTTTTACTCACAGTGACCATGTAGAACAGAGTATAAGGACCTCATAAAGTCACCAATGGCTAGAAATCTTTATAGAAACAAATTGCATGTCTTTCTCCTGTTGAAAGATTGGTAGACTCAAAAGATCATTTGATTCTGGGCCCAAAAATCTAGCCACTGTGCCATCACTCTTTTAATTATCTGTTCTTGTTGTTGTTGTTGTTAGGTGCCATTGAAATGAATCTGATTCATAGCAACCCAATGAACACTGATCTGAGTCCTGTCCTAACCTGTGCCATCTTTATCTTCTCTGGTATACTTGAGCCCACTGCTGTAGTCATAGTGTCAATCTCTCTCTTACACCACGATGCAATATTACCTCACCTCAATTGACATGACCATTTTAAAAAGAGCAAAGTTAAAAAAAAATAGGAAAATAGATGTTTCATTCATTACAAGAAATAGAAAACTTCATTCATTCCTATGGAAATGAGAAAATGCCACAGTGATTATATTGACAATTGTTTGGTAATTCTTCAAATGTTGAACAGATCATACCACATGATCCAGTAATCCCAGTTTTAGATTTATTTACAGAAAAAGTGAAATCAGGAATGCAAACAGAAACCTATGAAAAAATGCTCCTTCTAGCTTTTTCCATAGTGCTTCAAAGGTAGAAACAACACAAATATTCAACGCACAAATAGATAAGCAAAATGCTGTATATGTTGTTGTTAAGTGCCGTTGAGTCGCAGGCAACTCATAGCAACCCTATGAAGGAGATCCTCGATGCTTGGGTGCCTTTCATCCTCTCTCTAGGTTCGTAGGGTTTCCGGAAGCAAGCTATTATGGAAGTAAATGCCACTCCTCCTTCCAAGCTTGTTTTAATAGGGGAGTTCCACCCCACGCTCTGTCCGCATTGGGTAGCCAACCATTAAAGCATTTGACACATCTGTGTCACAGTGTTCAGCCTCACAACAACCACAAGTGACAGTGGTATGGCAACTTGTACACCAGGGCTATACAACCTAAAGGAATGTCTGAACAAAAACAATGAAAGGCAGGCCCGAGGGCTGCAGATTAAAAGTCACCCACCTTGGCTTGGTAGCATCGCTTTCTGTCCACTGGGCCAGCTGATCTCTCTCTCTCTGAAATGCTGTATATACATGCTTGGAATATTCTGCTGCCACTGAGTCAATTCTCACTCATTGTGATTCTATGAGACATGAACAAACCAACCACAGGACCTCCAAAGCTGTAGGCTTTAAGGAAGCAGACTGACACATCTTTCTTCCTCAGACAAACCAGTAGATTAAATCTGACAACCTGTTGCCTAGTACCCATGTTCTTAACCATCATACGACCAAGGCTTCTTTGGGATAACAGTACTAAACATTCTTCTGAATGAAATAAGGCAATCATGAAAGGACAAACACTGCATAATGTTTATTGCATAATGTTACTTTCATATATTAAGCAAATCTATCAAACTCAAAACTTGGAAGTGGTTATCAGGGATTTAAAGGAGAGTGAAAAGGGAGAGTTTTATTCATTGTTGTTATTCAATGTCCTTGAGTTGGTTCGGATTCATAAATTTATTAACTATTTGCCGTTGAGTTGGAACCAACTAGTAGCTGATCTTCCAGTGGGTTTTTGGAAGCTATGAGTTGCTCATTCACTTCTGAAATGGCTTGCCCCCGGAAACTCTATGTACGGACAGTGCTCAGGCCTCTCATTCATAGGGTCACTATGAGTCATCTACAACTTGACGGCACCTAACAACAATAACAACGATGACATAGAGAGAGCTGCACTGGCCTAGTGGACAGAAAGTTATGCTACCAAGCCGAAGGTGGGTGATTTTAATCTGCGGCCCTCAGGCTGGGTTCAAATTGTTTTCCTGTCAAACATTCTTCTAGGTGGTATAGCACTGGGCTGTGCATTGCTGTAACTCGTGGTTGCTGTGAGGCTGAACACAGTGACACTGATGTGCCAAACGTGATAATGGTTATCCATGGTGGACACTGTTTGCTGGAGCTTCCCGACTAAAACAAGCTTGGAAGCAGGAGCGGCATCCACTTCCGAAAGGCTTGCCTCCAAAAACTCTGTGAACAGTGCTCAGGCCTTTCATTCAGAGGGTCACTATGAGTCGTCTACAGCTCAATGGCACCTAACAACAACAACATCAGCTACACAAGAGGAAGCTGTCCATCATTCTTCCTTAGAGTGGTAGATAGATTTGAACCACTTGCCTTTGGGTTGACACAACCTCTTACTAAGCAACTGAAGTTTCCTTCTGACTCATAGTGACTTCTATGCACCGTAGAAAGAAACACTGCCAAATCTTGCACCCTTCTCATAATATTTGCTGTGTGTAGCCCATTGCTGCAGCCGCTGTGCCAATCCTGGCTATAATTCCAGGTAGTTGTAGTAGGATAATTTGTAAAAAGACAGAAAGAATATTCACACAATTTGAAAAATGTAGCCAAAATCACGTAAGTGTACATGTAGAAATGTTATTGTATTGCATTGTATCGTGTGTTTGTATATTTTCATCACATTAAAAAAAGTTTTAACAGAGCTGTTGCAGTTAAGATAAATAAGTTTGGGGAGCTCTGGTGGTCTAGTGGCAAGAAGCTGCACTGCAATCCCAGAGGCGCATGGTTCGAATCCACCAGATGCTCTGCCGGGACAATCTCCTCCTGTACCAGTCAGATCTGATTTGACGGTACACAGACACACAAAATAATAATAAAGTTTAAAAAGAGATAAATAAGTAGGCAAACAGGTAGGATAGTCCTTAGCATACAGGACGCCCATAAAGACAACTTATATTGTAGTTTTGTTTGAGTGTAATTAACAATAGCACCTGACATCTTTTACACTCCCAGAATGACGTATTATATTGTGGTTTTGTTTGATTGTGATTAACAATAACACCTGACATCTTTTACTCCTATGACAAAAATGGTGGGCAGGGCTGTTGAGGGTAGAGGAAAAGAGGTTCTATTCTTAGGATGTTGTTGTTGTTGATTGCCTTCGAGCCGAGCATGACTCATAGTGACCCTATGAATAAAAGACCTGAAGCCTTTCTATAACCATCAAGATTTATAAAAGTTCATTGAGTTTCCAGAGGCATGTTTTTTAGGAAGTGGAAGCCACTCTTGATTCCAATCTAAAAGATTAAGTGTTGCCATTTCGACCCTAATATATTCTAGGAAGTGTAAGTCATACAACATTGTCTACATACACGGAAGAGATAATCAAGGGAACTCACCACTTGGGAGGCTTGCCAAATTCATATTTGCAGAAGTTTTCTGGCTTCTCCACAGGATTCCTGAGCAAGGGGTGATAAATTTCAAATGGTTAGGATAGTTGGGAGAGTGCCGACTCGGGCCCCAGGAGCTGTTCATTTAAGGTACATGGTGCTCATTTTTCCCTTGTTTACATGGTATTGCCTATCATCTGCACCAAACAGAATTTCATGTTATGGAGGGGACATCCAAGGCACTTCCAAGCAATTGCAAATGGGTCTCTAGAATTGCAAATTTCTGAAAAACCGTCAGTTAGAAAAGATTTATGTGTTGACCTTCCCACTGGGAAGTTTTCTCAGGTGGAGAAGCAAACAGAAAAAAAAGC